CTGAATTCCTTTATTTACATGTTAAATTTTACAGCAAAGCTTAACCTTTCCTAATACAACTTTCTTAGGGTTTGATTATTCAATATTTTATACTGTCAATCATTAAAATTTTCATCAAGCCTATTTATCATGGCCAGGAAAACTCACAAAACCTGAAATTCAACAATAACTATTATTATCGCCATCCCTTAAAAAAAATCCCAGACATGTGGGATTCATACACCTGACGCCCTGAAAAGACACACCCGTATGCAGGTTGTAACCATACAGGGTTTGATGAGTGACCACAACAAGCAAACACAACTCTTATTAATTGTACAGGGTTGTTTCCAAATGTCATTGCTTATGATGGGGAAAGGCTAATGCTTTAAACATACAAATGGTCAGTACTGAACACATCATTGCTATTTTTATGCAGTATAGAACCTTAAACAGTGACATTTCTCATATTAAACATGGTTTTATTGATCTATTGAGTATTTTGGTTCTGAAAGCATAAAAAACAATACATAATAAAACAGTATACCTTCTTCTAACCCAGGCATGTAATTGGTAGAAAAACAAAACAAAACAGATGCTTCAGCTAAAACCAGAGGTGGAGAATTAAGTTGGGGGAAAAGGGACCAAGAAACAGATAATAAATCTATCTGGAATGTTTCCAGGTCACTAGGACTCATTATATTTGCCCCCAGTGGCCATTAAAAGTGGAGACTAGTCCCTTCAGGGGATGGAGATGAAATGACTCAGAATTAGACAGAGCAGGTGGGCAAGCGAAGGCAGCCAGATATAAACAAAATCACAGGGTTTTGCCTTTTCATATTTGATAGCGACATGGGTATCCAGAACTCTTCCCTGACTAAGCAAAACCACAGTATGGGCATGCTGATAAACAGCCGCTGCTCCTCGGTCTAAGTGTTGGGAGCCACGGAGAGTTGTGGGGACCTTGACATCGTGGGGAGGACATGCCCCACTAGTTGTGAAGGCAGCTTCAACTCCCCTTCAAATCTGACGGATGGCTGCCTCATGGGAATGCACACGCTCATTCTTCTGAATTTAAGAAAAGGAGAAATCTGGGTTTTTCTTGTAACATAAAATCACCTGATTTTTAACACATTGCTTTGATTTTTAAAAGCATGCTTATCCAGTAAAACACATCTAGGTACTAGTTCTGCACTACAGGTCCCATTTTGTGACCCCTGCTTTAAAAAAAAAACCAAGGTATTTCCATGTATTCATGGTTTCTCAGTTCCACTGTGATCTATGGGAGGCATTGGTGGGGTCTGCATTACTGAGACGTTAGCATCAGCCCTATTTCCTAAGAATGTGAGGAATGCCACCGCGGGTCAGATCAATGGTGCAATGAGTTCAACAGTTTGTTTCTCAGAATGGTACTAAGGAAGCATTTGGGAAAGATTTACACCCTCATCCCTTCCTCTCTAGTCCTCAAAAGTTAGGGTAGTCCCACAAGCATTTCTGATTTTCTTGGTTTCGATTCATAAAATATCCCAAGGGCAAGGATAAAATAATATAAACAACACATCTCCAAGCTTTATCAAAGCTTAGCATCATAGTTGCTTCAGATACATGTTTTAATTTATGAAATAAAATGTGGATAATCAGTGTTCTTGGTTACCACTCCTTCCCCAGAGGTGCCATCGTCCCAGACACCATGTTGGTTGTGTCCATGAATTTTTCCTAGCTTCGAATAACGTTCATCTTCCACCCATGAGCTTAGTCTAAAAACCTAACTTATTTACAGAACCTGAATAACCTCTTAAGTTGTAGAAAAAACAAACCCAGAAATAGGGAACCACTGACCTCATTTAATCTCTCCACATAATTACGCTTTCTTCTGGAATAACGATCTTTGTCCCACCCACCCCCCTTGGGTGGGATGACAATAAAATGCAATAATGAGAACAAATGTTTGGGAAAAGATACAGCATTATCCACATGCAAGGTTCTAGCACTTTTATTAATGAGTTCCTTCTATGTTTTACCCCTTCACAAAGTACTAGTTTATTTTATTTGTCCTCAGACAGAATTGAGGGAGTAGACCCCGCTCTTCCTGAATAACAGCCTTCCTTCCAAGCTTGATTCCATAAAGTTTGATTAAAACCCTTCTCAGACTTTGTCTTTCCAGACACAGAGGTAGAATTGTTTCATTTTTTCCCCAAAGAAAAAGTATTCTGTTGCAATTCCTAATTGTTTCTCTAAACCTTTTCTAAGTCTGTTACATATTTCTGGAGGCACAAGGAGCCACACTTGCCTGCAGTATTACAGGTGCAAGAAGTCTTGCTTAGGTGAAAACTTATTTAAGTACTTGAACATATGAGCACATGTAAGTAAACAAAACCAAACCCATCCATATCAAAACTACAATGAGACACTACCTCTCACCCATTAGGATGGCTCTTATGTACTTAAAATGACTATGTACTTAAAAATGACTAAGATAGTAAAAAACAGTCTATACCAGTAAGGCCTTATAAAAATTATGAGAACATTACGAAAGACTAGGCAAAAGTCTCCAAGTGGTGTCCACTGTCAAGAGCACAGCTGTTCTGCTGGAGATGGAGGTTATCCAGTTCACTGGGGTTCATCACCAACTTATTTTGCCAACAAGGTAATAAGACCCAACATGTGCATTTGGTGTCTCTCTCAGAACCTAGAACATTCATAAGCATTTCCAGGTGGTCTTTAGGAAGGGCTCACCAAATATTTGTTGATGGACTCGTTGATGGAAGGGATCATGGTTAAATGTGTGGCTAACACAGGCCCTAGTTTTATCATTTACTAGCTGACCAGAGCCTATGTGACTTCTCTAGGTGTCATTATTAAGTTATTGTGAAGATAAAGCGGGCAATTTCTTAGTCCAGTATTGGGCTAGAAAAATCAAGGAAGAAACAACTGGGTTGACTGAACCTGGTCTATGACCCTTTACCATTATATCCATGTACCTCCAGTAGAGGCCAGTACTTAGTAATTTTTCAGTAAATAATTATCGAATGATTGCATTAACTACACTATAAGGGTGTAATTCTGAATTCTGTTAAAATAAATTGATTAACTCCTTAATATATTTTAATGACAAGGACTGTATACTCAATAGATCATGACAGATACCTGTATTCATTTCTTGGAATCGTCTTAGCTTTTTCAAACCCTTGTGGGTCTATTTCAAGCTTATTTAGCACCTGCTATATTTATAGCATAGTCTCAGCATCTGAGATGCAATCTGAATCAAACACATCCCTGGCCTCTAGTTGCTCTCAGGCAAGTGGAAAAGACATTTAGGGAAGCACCTGGGGGATTAAAAGTCACCTGGGAGGCACGTCCAAGGTGGTACAAAGGACAGTTCCATCAACCCTGCTGGAGGGGAGAGTGGTTTTGGTGAAGGAAGACCCCTGAGGGCAAGGCATTGGAACTGGGTCATGAAGAACAGAGAGCGCTATTCCAGGTAGGGAAAGGGGTAAAAAGATAGTGGGGACCAGATGTGCAAAGGCATGAAATACAGGTGAGGAAGACGAAGCAACCAAACACCTCCAGGGAAATGTAACTTGTTTCCACAAAGCACAGAACAAAAGTGGGGGTAAGAAAAGTAGCCTCACAGAAACAGGCGGGAGCCAGACGACCCAGAGCTCATTTGCTTGTGGCAGAGAAGAGAGGAAGAAGCTGGGAGGGAAGGTCTGTAGATCTTGGCTTCAGCAGAAAGCATGGATATGAGATGTTAAGGAAGGCAAATTCAAACATGCTCACATCATTTTATTTGCTCTGTAAGTGATTAAAACCTGAAACCACCAGCCACATACACACTAAAGTCGTACCTGCAAGACCTTTCACCCTGGCATATTGCCTGAAAAAATCTATACTTTCGTTTAAAAAATGAAGTGAAAAAGAGCAGATTCAGTGACTCAACCTGAACGATCATTACCCCTGCTGGCTTCTCGTGCATTCGCTTCCCTCTGAACCCAAGGAATTCACTTTGTTGGAATTGTATTGTTTGGTTTCAACTTGGAAACCAAAGTTCTCTTCCATGTAGATCAAGTTCCAGCCTGGAGGGTTTTATCCTCAGAACCCTAAGCCAGGGGAGCTCTGTAAAGAAGGCTGGTGTCCTGGTCGCAGCAGATCGAAAAGATACTAATGTCAGTCAAGTTGAGTGTGATAGATAAATAAGCCCACTGAGTGATGCCTGACAGTGAGGAATTTGGGTCCAGGAATGGAACTGAGATGTGGTGACAAATTGTCAGGGCAAGATTTTTTAAATCTATCCTGGGGTAACTTAGAAGAAGTTGACCCTAGGCTTACAGGCAAGACCATAGAGCTGGCCCAATCGGAAGGTGAGAAGATGAGAAACCCAATCAGATGATGACACAGAAGCTAAGCTGGAACCACCGGATTTTGGCAGAGTCTCCTAAGTGTTTGGGAATTGACTCAGATGAGCTAAGTCTTCAGAAAGGCATCACATCTAAGGGGGTAGTAGTGAATTACTACCAGAAGGTATGCAGAATACTGCAAATTTCAATCACCTAACAATTATTACAAGCTGTGAATAAATCACTCACTCTAATACTAATAAACCACTGAAAGTTCCTCTAATATCTATGTTCATATACATTGCATAGAATTCCATTTATAGTCTCCTACTCTTTGAAACAACTGCCCAAATATTAAAAAAAAATTTTGACCAAGGGTTCCCAAGGTCCACCATTAAATCCTTAAATTCTGTAATATTTAATCTGGGCTTACTCCATTCCTCCTCCCTCTTGTTCTCTTAGCCACGCCCCCCTTCCCATTTCAAAAGCCTAAGACAGAAAAGTAATGTTGAAACACAAACCAAATGCCTTATACTCAACACAAGTTCATTTTATAAACTAGGTCATTGGTTAAGGTGGTATCATTCAGTGCCCAACGCCCAAATGCTCACTGACAGTTACTGAGAAGGGTCAGCAAATCCCTTGAGCAAAAGAGACTATCAAGCAAAAACCCGGACATCTCACCCAGCTCCACATCTTGGTCATCAGTGAGCACCAGAATGATGTTGGGTCGGATGTTTTTTCGCTCCTGCAGCACCCGTCCTCTGAACCTCGGGGACCTGACAGTCGAACAGAGGCTGCCCAGCAGCTCCGTGCCCAGGACAGCCAGAACCAGAGCCCAGCAGGAACACTTCCTCACGTTTGGTCCCATGTCGCAAAACGGGCAAAACGCCTCAGCCTCCTGGTTTCTGCAGGTCTGAGCAGTCAGGGAAAAAGCGAGAGGGAGAGACTGAAATGAAATCCAAACCCCAAACACAGTTGCAGGAAAAGGGCTTCAGCTAAGTGGGACCTGGCACCTTCGCCGGCGGAGAACAGGCTGCACAGGAGTCAGAAGCAGCAGCCCCTCACAGGCGCTGGGTCGTTTTTTCAGCGCTTGATTATTTTGCAAATTCACTTTTCTCCTTTATTCTCATTCCAACTTTTCCTATGCCAGTTCATTGCCAAAATATCCCTTCCAACACAGGGCTCCCGTGCAAAAGCTTTCCGACAAGAGCTAATACCTTGAATTAGGTGTCCTGGTTGAAAACTCAGTTTCTCTACTCGGGTGTTCAGCACATCTGTAGATGGGTCCTGGAAGGGGGAGAGAAAAAGGCAAAGAAAACATCGGTCAAAGATTTTGATACAGCTTTTTGGCCTGAAGTAGTCCCTTAAAACAGCATACTATAATCTGTATATTATATATGCATGAATAGTATATACAATATTAATGCATGTATATTTTTCCTCCGCCCTCCAAAATGAAGAAACATAAGGAAACAACATTCAGAAGTGCTAACAAATGACTCAGAAACCACCTTCATTCCATAATCAGCTCCATAAACCGGCACAGTCTCATCCCCATTCACGCCCTAATTGTACTTTAAAGGTCTCCCCCCCAAACTAATGACGGATCAGGAAGAGCCGGCAGCACCTGTGAAACCACAATGCATCTGGAGAGCACATCTGGGGGGCGGCTGGCACGGGGGAGGGGGCGTGTTGGGGGAGCGTTAACTCACCTGCATAAGAATATAGAGTACTTATCGAGTAGAATGAAACTCAAAGCTGTCATTTGTCATCTGCATTATGTCACTCACTACCCAGGAGAGTTCTTTCTGCTGACAAAGACTTCATAGGAAGGAGGGCAATTTTTCCCAGCCTCTGAAAACCTCCTAACTGTGCTCCATCAATCACCAGGGGAAGAGGCGCTTCCTCCGAGCAAGGCTGGTCCCTCTGTCCAGCCCGTGTCCTCAGTGCGCTGGCGCCTAAGGGGACAGAGCCCTCCTTTGACTGTCAGCACCAGCCTCACTATTAGCGAGACCCGGTGCAGCGCCGCCTGCACAGAGGTTGTGCTTTGCTGCCGCAGATCTAAACCTGCAAAGCGAAGTGATTGATTGGCTCTGAGGCTGAGGGTTAGCGGCTACCCTCCCACGTTAAAAAATAAATAAAATCCAGAGGAAGCACTGCAAAATCTTTGCCAGTCTGCACAAGAGGAGAGAGTTTGAAAGGGTTGGGAAATGCCCCTTCACTTTGGAACACTAACCTGCTGAAAGCTTTTCTCTTGGACTTCTGAGAGATGGCAAAGGACTCATTACAAAAAAAAAAAATCTGCCTCTAGGATGTCAGGAGGGAACATCCGTATGGGAATTTACGCTGCCCTAAAATTAATTAGATGGCAGCCCCCTTCATAAGCTCCTCTGTCTCCACATACTTGAGGGTCTGTATTTTGATTGGCAACAATAAACTGGCGTCAGATAAATAAACATAAAGAATGAAGAGTGAGGAGTGCGGTGGCAGGAGAGGGGCTCCGTGCCTCACTCCCACGTCTGCAGCCCTGGAGGGTGGCATGGGGCACGAAAGAAGAAAGACTGTGTCCTGTTCGCACCTGCCACACACAGCATTTTGTTTACATCAACACACACACGCCCCTATTATTTTAAACTTTATGAGCTGTTTTGTAAACAATTCCAATGCTTTTCACTCTGCAGCCTGCAATTACTAAGAGAAAGCAGGGGAGGGAGGGAGGGAAGGAGAGAGAGAAACTCAATAAGAAATAGGTTTTAAAACAAAAATCTAGCATCTGCAGCAGGGCAATCTTGACTACATGATCTGCAGAGCAACCAACAAGCCCCCTTGGGTCTTTCAGCTCTGAGAGTCCCCGAGTAAGGGCTTTGGGGGAAGAACTCAGGGTTATGTCAATGATTGCTGAGCACGCTGAACACTGAAAGCCCGCAATTGTTCTGCACCAACTTTTTGGTTTCTGTGCATTTGTTTTAAATCATGAGAAAACTGATATGAGCACAAAAGGGCAGGAAAACGAAAGAAATATGGTATCAAACAATGGCTTTCTCCCACAGACTGTGCCCCTGGCTCTCCTAAATACAGAAATTTCTCAGGAGGGTGGGTCTTTTAAGCAGTCAGACTTTGCTCACTTCTCAAATCCTGCAAGGGAATGGGCAGGGCTTTCTTTCATCAGCTGTAAACCAACCTCTGCCAGTGGTAGTGACCTGGGAAGCACACTCGGCCTCGCTGTGTGGAGCGAGCGGGGCTGCTGGGAGCTTAGCTAATCAGCCACACACACAACTGAAAATTCTTGACAATTAAGATGCTGATAATATTCCCTGGAACCCAATCAAAATTACTGGCTATTCTTCTCTTTATCTTATTTACTTTACTTCTTCCTTTAGGAAAAAGGATATTAGCACTAATGATCCCTTATATGAACTACATTGAAAGTCATTTCCTAATAAAAAGGGAGACACAGTAGGTGTTTTTTGATGTGTATATGTTTCCCCTATAAAATGACCTTCCTTTCTGGAGAGTTGATAGAAAAGACCTATGTTTCTTCTGCCACAGTTTATTACTGATTCAGGGGATTTGTATGTAAAAGCCTGGACCTGAGCGGTGAAGAACTTTCTGACAGGTCTGGCCAGCAGGAGCGCTGCATCCTTCATCCTACCTCCCTTCACTCCAACACACAAAACACACCACTGTGCAAACAGTGCACACAGACAATTCTTTATTCAAAACGACCCTTTAAAACCTGTCATCCCCTCCCTGCCTGGTTTCCAGCTCCAGAAGGAAAAGAAGTCATGAAGAAAAACACATCAGGCAAAACGCAGAACTTGACAAAGAAGACAAGGATCCAATGTTTGAATTGGATACTTTGCGGTGGACGACAAGTGTCCTTAGAGACTAACAATTTGTCTGGAGAAGTAGCAGAAAGTGGGAGAAATGTAAAGAGAGGTTTTTCTCACACATGGGAAGGGAGCTGAAAGAACAGTGCTCCAAGCCCTGGGGTGAAAACACCAGTTGTAGTTATGGCTGATTGGTGTGGAAAGTTTGCAGGACTTTGTTTAGGGCAGTCAACCCAAAATCTGAATGTGACATTAAAAGTTTCAAGTCACATACAAAAGAAAAAAAAAGACTGGAAGACTCTAAGTCACCTGGAAAGTTGAGTTCATGTCCCAGCGGGTTTAAGGGGACTCTCTGTCCTCACCAAGCCCCCTGGTCCCCCCGCAGCTGGGGCTGAGGTGGCCTCATGCCGAAAGAGTCCTCCCGCTTTGTAAACTGAAGGGGTTCTCAAAGTGCAAGCTGAGAATTTGGGGGACCCTGAGAGCCCTTTGGGTGGTCCATAAGGCCACAACTATATTAATAAGAATACCGACAAGTTATCTGCTTTTTAAAAACTTTGTTGATATTTACGCTAATTGAGTAGGAGCAATGGTGGGTAAAATTGCTTTTGTCTCATTATGAATGGAGGGGGTGTCACATTCGGTTAAAAAAGCCAGTTCCACTGAAGATGAGGCAGTAGAATGATTAATTTCCTTAAACCTGGACCCTGGGGTGAGCACATTCTCTTCCTCGTTTTCTGTGTGAGGAGATAGGAGACGCAGAGAAAGGCCTTCGCCGCCTGTGAGACCTGATGGCTGTCGTGAGGAAAAGCACCTCTGTGACTGAGCTGCAAGTTGAACAAGACAGTATTTTTCCCCATAAACACCATTTTTTACTTGAAAGAATTATTTGGAGTTAGATATTTGGCAGGCATTTTCTCAAATAATGAATGAAATGAGACTGTGTTTTCAAGGAAAACAACTGGCAGGATTTGTTGTGTTTGTTGCCAAGGAGAGAAATCTAGGTTTTCAAGTTAAAATCAGAATTTGGGAAAACTTGTATCCGCCACTGTGAGCCTGGCAGCTTCAACCTTTCTGATGACACTGGTGTTGATATTAACTTATTAACAAGTGTTGTTTTTTATACGGTAAAGTAAAATATGTCAACATCTAGAATATTTGCTTAATTTAGTGACCCAATATTTCCCAAATGACCAAATACAATGCTACAAAATCATACACGAGTAAAAAAAATTCAATCGAAGTGCAAGGTGACTTTAGATCAGAGTACTTAAATGGTCACTGACATGGTTTCGGGTTTCTTACTACTTCTAAACTTTTAGGAAATTACAAAAAATTACCCTTGTCAAGTCTTCGTATCGTATCAGAGAAGATCTACAAGTATCTAAAAATGTTAATACATTTCTCCTTTGCCAGCTACTTATCCATGTGAGGCTGAGTTTTATTCCTGTACGTGCAACCAAAGCAACACATTTCAAAGACGGAGCACGGAGGCTGACGTCAGAACCCATCTCTCTTCTATTCGGGTAAACATTAAAGAGATGTGCGAAAATGGAAGACAATACCACTTTACCCACCTATTTTTTTGGTTTGGAAATATGGGCATTTTTTAAATAAACCATATTATTTAAGTTAACAGATAACAGATTTATTATTTTCATTTTCAAAAGAATTAATAGATATTCTTAAAATTCCTCAGTTACATGTCTTAAGTATCAGTAGCTATAACCCACATACACAAAAGCTTGGGGGGCCTTTAATACATTTCGATAATGTAAATAGATCCCGACTTGGAAGGTTTGAGACTTGCTGGCCTAGGCGTACCTGGTGCCACAGGTTTTCAGTCCAGAGGGCATAGATCTGGCCCTACTCACAAACGTCTCGTTCACTCCCCCCCCCCCCCCCGCCCCGTAAAGCTTTGAAACTGCCCTACGTTCTCAGTGCCTGGTGTCACGTACAAGTTGTTAATAATGAGCGATGACATTCTGTGATTTAAAAAATAATCTGAGGATAACACCAAACTTTACAAATGAATGCCCACACAGCTAAATCCCTGGAGAGACGGGGTCAGACCCACCCACCCGGCACAGACGTACAACTCCCAGAGAAAGGGCAGAGAATTCTTTCCAGAACAAAGCGATGCAGTCCATTGTTAGGACAGAGAAAAAAAGGAACACTATACCTAATCAAAACAGCAGGGAAATGAGGCCAGCAGCATGCACTTATTAGAAGCCGAATTTCGCCAGAACATACGCAGTGTCTGGTCAGAGCGAAGCAAAATAGGACTCAAACCAGCAAGAAGTTGGTACTCACATCTGCCCGCACTCACTGCCCATCTACATACTCACATTTCTTCACGTCAGTTTACTTGGTCCCCTTTTCTTAACTCTGACTTTCAGGTTTCCCAGACATCACTTTTCTTTAGCGAAAGCCTTCAGGACATGCTATCTTCTTTATGAC